GTTTACTACTTTACCCAAGGTCTACCAAAAGTCAAACAAATTTTTGATAACATTAAACCTGACAAGGAAGAAAAAACTATTTTGGCTAAGGCCGATGGAAAAATAATTAGTATTGAAGAAAAAATAATTAAACAAAAAAGCGAGGAGGGAAAGGAAATCATTTACTCTCTTGGTAAGAAAAAAAAGGCACGAGTTAGCCAAGGAGATTTAGTAAAAAAAGGTGAAAGACTTACTGGTGGAAAAGTTGATTTAGAGGAATTGCTAGAAATTATGGGACGAAACAAGTGTCAAGAATATATTAGAGAGGAAGTAAGAAAAAATAACCAAATATGCCTCTAATCAAATCATTAAAAATCAGTTGGCTTCCACCTGAAAAAATTAATCAACTCTCCTTTGGTAATATTACTAGTCATAAACTAATTAATATTCGCACCCTCAAACCAGAACCGGGTGGACTTTTTGACCCTCGAATCTTCGGTCCTTTTCTTAATTACGAATGTTATTGTGGTAAATACAAAGGCAAAGAAAATAAAGGCCAAAAATGTGAGCGTTGCGAAGTCTTAATTGCCGAAAAGAATCTGCAACGATGACGAATGGGGCATATTTCTTTGCCAGTACCGGTAGTTAATATTGCCCTTTTTAAAATCTTAGCCACTAATTTAAGCAAGTTATTAGGCATTCCCACTAAAAAATTAGAAGATATTATTTATCTTCGGGTTTATGTGGTAGTTGATAACGGCTCAGTTAGTCTACTAAAAAAGGGCGAGGTGTTGGAAAAAAGAATTGACCAACCGCTAATTAGCGGCATCCTGCAAGAGGTGATTCAAGAAAAAAAATTAACTGAAAAGATTATCAAAGAAGCTGAGGAGTTAAACGAGAAAATAATCAAAGCGAACGATAAAAATAACAAAGAAGCAACTGATATTATTTTTTTGGAGGATTATTTAGATTTCTTTGAAAAACATTGTGGGTTAAAAATTTGAACTGGGGCGGAAGCGTTGCGGGAACTATTAGCGGGAATTGAGGTTAAGACCGAATTAGCCAAAGTCAAGGAAGCAATTAAAGAAGCACCCCAAAAGACTAACCAAGAAAAATTAAAATTCTTACAAGGTTTACAAAAATCCGGCTTAAAGTTAGAATGAATGATTATGAATAAATTGCTGGTCATTCCTTGTGGTTTGCGTCCAGTAGTCAAGTTAAAAGAAGAAGATGTCATTGCTTCTAATCAACATAATAACTCTTTAGATCGCATAATTTTGCGGTGTGAGAGGATAAAATATTACCTGGATTTAAACCAAAATTCTGGAATCATTTTCCAAGACATTATTCATAATGAAAAAAGGGGGCTGCAAAAAGCCATCGACCAAGTAATCTGAGGTTCCACTTATAGAAAAAACGAAATTAAGAGTTTGCTCCAAAGTTTAAGCGGTAAGGAGGGAATACTGCGCCGTTATTCGTTAGGAAAAAGGGTTGATTATTCAGCTCGTTCGGTAATTATCCCTAACCCTAATTTGCTCCTAGACCAAATTGGACTACCAGTCAAAATGGCTTTAACGCTTTATAAACCTTTTGTTATCCAAAAAATATTAAAAGAAAAAATTGCTTTCACGGTCAAGGAAGCGGAACAATTATTTCATCAAGAAGACCCAGTGGTTTTCTCGCTGCTTAATGAAATTATTCAAGGGCACCCAGTTTTGGCAAACCGCGCTCCTAGTTTACATCGCCTAAGTATCCAAGGATTTTATCCGCAATTGACGCTGGGTAATGCCATTGAACTTCACCCGCTAGTAACTACGGCTTTAAATGCGGATTTTGATGGAGACCAAATTGCCATCCACCTGCCAATGACTACTAAAACTTGTGAGGAAGTTAAAGAACTTATCCTTTCCACCCACCATATTATTGACCCTAAAAATGGTCATTTGATAACTATTCCTAGCCAAGACATGATTTTAGGTATTTATTATTTAACTAGAGAGATTAAAAATAAAAAAGTAATTTTCCACACTGATATAGGAAATATTTGAAAGAGCCAGGAAAAAGGTAAAATAGGACTCCATGATTTAGTGGCCATTCCCGCCACCTTGGTTGGTCGGAACTTTTCCACCACTCAAAACCAATTTCTCTTTACTACGCTAGGGAAAATAGTTTTTAATCAAATTTTACCCGCTAGTTTCCCTTACTATATCAATGACTTAAAAAAATACAACGAAGAGGATAACCAAAATAATGACCCAGTCGAACTAGAGCAAATTACTAAAAAATGAACCGATTACCAACCACTAGCCGGATGGAAAAAAAAGGAGATTATTGCTTTTTTGAATAAATTGGTCAGAATGGTGCCACGACTGGAAATGGTGGAGTTCCTGGACCACTTAAAAAAGATTAGTTTTGAATATGCCACTCGTTCGGGAATTAGTATTCCACCTTTTGAGTTAGACGGGATTATCTCTGACAAAGCAAAAATTCTGGCTGAAGCGGAACAAAAAGAACATAAAATCACTGATTATTTTTCTCAAGGTTTTTATAATGAAGAAGAAAGAAAACTAAAAAAAATTGCAGTTTGAGAAGAATGTAAGGAGAAATTAAAAGGGCAGTTGATAACTAACTTGGCCAAAAAAAATAACACCTCTTTTTATCACATCTGAGATTCC